CGTCAAACACATCACTCATGACGTGCTCTGTCACGAAGAGCACACGCTCATTGGTTCTCGTGCTGTGCCCGATTGTACCCGAAGCAATTGTCGCCAGCTTGTCCATTGGAACATGTTGCAACATGGTGGTGACGACGGAGTCAGGTGAAGTCTTGACACTGTCCTCAATGAACTTCACCTTATCCAAGACTGACTGGGTGATGGGAGCAATTTCAGGTGTGTTCTGGAGCGACACCTTAGCCTCCACAATGGCTTGGCGAAGGTCCCTTTCGGTCTTCAACTCTGGCAATTTCTCCTCTTGAGGTCTGCCACGCTTTCTGTCACCACCGCCCAAGCCGAGGATGAAGACCTCCAACGTCAAGAGAACACCTTCAGCGATGAGACCCTTATCCATCCTCTCCTCGTGCTGGTAGTGGAACTTCATGTGGTGTGGGGCGATGCCAAGCTTTCCCATCAAGAAAAAGCCCACATAGGTTTTCACGAGGTTCAAGTCAAAGGCTGTGCTCATCTCCATCAAGTGGTGCTCTCTCTGGTTGAAGCACTCAAGGATGACCAACTGGAAAATGCTCATCCGCATCGTGTCTTCACGGTTATGCATCTCAACGAGCAACTCCTCCTCATTCTCATTCACATAGGAGAGCAACTCCTCGTTGTCCTCAAGCATCTCGCCCTCCTTGAAGAACTCTATCTGATGCCAGGGCGTCGTGAAGAAACCGCTAGCGAAAAACTTGAGGTGCATCACATTTGCCTCCTCATCAACGAACTTGAAACAGTGCAACTCATTTCCATGCTTGACCTTGATGGAGAAGAAGTTGCCGTTGTCCTCGTTGCTAACATCGTCATCTCCATCACCATCATCGCCGTCATCTGGTTCTTCATCGTGTGGGTCTTCAGAGGGATGGCTCGTCTTTGCAACATCATGTGCTGCACTGCCTGTTGCTTGTGTCTCATCAGACAAAGGCTTGATGACATAAATCCCATCCTGCTCCACCAACTTGAAGCCCTGCTCGTGCACGAAGGTTAGCATGGTCTGGTTCATCGCTTTGATTCGTTGAGTCCAATGAAGACGCACGGGCTTTGTCACTGTCGTGCTGTTCGGCTTGGACAGCATGGCGCCAACTAATGGAGGTCTTACTCAACGGTGACTACCAAAATGGCTTGCTGTTAAACATTTTATGTGTTGAACAACAACTTCTTTTTTTTTCTCAGTCATCTCACAGCGATTGGATTACAGCCTATGACTGCTTCGTTGTAAGTCTCGGGATGCTGTCAGACAACGAAGGCTCACGTAATCTTTACAAATGGCTGTTTTCATTCAACCTAGAGGTCTCACTGTGCGCCACTTCCTGACGAGGATGCTGAGGATTTTGCCTTCGCCTTGCTCTTTGGGCCAGCCGCCTTGGACTTTGCCTTTGCCGATGGGTTGGTGCGGGTGGCAATGATGATGAAGCCATCACGAACCTGCCAGCCCATATTAGCGTCCTTTGTGTGGAAGGTGCGACGAGCGAACTGCTTCATGTTGATGTCGTTCATCGTGTAGAGCAAGCCACTAACCATGCTAATAGTTGTGAATACTTCGGGGTGGGCGGTCATCAGACGAAAGCGAAAGGTTTTGAAGGTGTCAGTGGCATAGACCGTCACTGCGTAGTCCTGGCCTTCAAAGCGCACGATGCCCGTGAAGGACTTGCCATGCTCCTCGATTGTCTTGATTGCCTCCTCCGCTGCCTTGCGAAGCTTCTTCTGACGATCACGTTCCTCCTTGGAGCTGGCACGCTCTTCGGTCAGCTTGGTCTTCACGGACATGAGAAGCTCATTCACCTTCTCCTTGTGGTTCTCCATCAACTCCTGAAGGTTCACGATGGCTGTCTCCGTGTTCGTGGCGTTGAGGATGGCTTCAAACAGGGTGGGGTCATTGGAAATCAGAGCATTAAGCAACTGCTCCTCTGCCTCGGCATCTTCAATCAGTTCATCAACCACGCCACCCTCGCTCTCTTCGCTCTCCTCTTGGTTCTCAACATCCTGCACCGCTTCCGCAATGACAAGGTCATCCATCTGATTCATCTCATCTGCCTGCACTTCTTCAGCAATGGCTTGGTCATCCATCGTGGGTGTCTCAGTGTAGCCACCCTGGTTAGTCTTCGGAGCCATGTGTGGTAAGGACAAGCAGAATGACAAACAGAAAGTGAAGTCAAAATGGCTTCAGACAATGGTCAAGATGCTCAACATACATGTAGGACAAGTCAAGCAAGTCAAAGCAAGTCAAATCATACAGCTGACGACGCATTTTCACCTAGCCATCTGTTTCAGCGTAAGCGCTACACCATGAACATCAGTCAAAGTCTATGTCGTCAAGAGCTTCGCGGGCTTCGTGGTGGTCTTCATGAATGACTTCTCTTAAGTTTGTCCACAAGTGCGGGTTCTGAAGGAGAAACCGGCTGAACTCTCTCGCGCCTTCTCTTTCACGGTCATGTTTCACACGAGAGCCCATGTGTTTGAACATGTTCGTCAGCATCATGACCATTTTCATCACCAGTGACTGGATGAAGCGAAACATGGCTCAAGAAGGAGCTATTCGGGAACCACTCAATCCGAAACACTGCGAATGACATCAAACACGAAGCAGTCGTCCAACATCCCAGAACTTGATAACTACTAAAAGGGTTAACTCTTTCAAATGAAAAAAATGTCGGCCCCCAGCCCAACAATGAACAAGGCGACAATTTACCCAAATGATTACCTTAACGAAAACGATATATAAGCTCCCCGAAACACCCCTTTTAAAAACGAATAAGGGGGAGCACAGATTTGAGGTTCACATAAAAACCAGAACAGGCAACCATCAACAGGCCACCCCCTGGCTAGCCCCTTTTTACCTTTTTTGGGGGGCCGGCGGGAGGTATATGGTCCCGCTTTCCAGCATTAGCTGAGAGCGCTTGGAGTTCCCACAAATCAGCCACAACATGAGCCAGTGCCTTGTGTTTGCTTCGCACAGCAGTGCAAGAGCACGCAGCAGTGTGATCGCATGTCGCACTCGCGGATGCGAACAAACCTACTCCCGAACAAAGCGCAGGGGCTCCAATAGGCATGGGGACATGTAGGTGTTGAGAGCGCTTGTTCTTGACAACTCTGAGGGCATAGCCTGGCCAAGGCTAAAAAAGGGGCAACTTCCCCCTAACTCAGCGGCCAACAGCCAGTAAACTTGACATGCGCCAAAATGAGGGCCCTTCCTTCCGCCGATTGGCTTTGGAAGGCGGCCTGCATGAAACGCAGCCCGAGTCAGCCAGCAGCCGAAGCCCCAAAAAAAACACCCGACGCATCTCCCCCTCCTCCCTTCTCCCCTTTCGCCTCCCGCTTTCGCTGAGGCTCAGCCTGTGGCAATCGCACCTGGGGGAGTTGGCGGCGGAGCAGCGGGAGGCAGAGCGGCTTCGGCAGGCCGCTGGAGCCGCTCTGCCGGGAGGGTCCGGGTCCGACAACCAAATCAACAGGTGGCTAGTGCAATGGGGGTACAGGGGAGGCAGGGGGGGATTTTTTTGGGGGAAGCTTGCCTTCCGACCACGGGTCGTTAGGAACCCGCCAGCACAATATGCAAGGCTTAATCCCTGGCAAACCTCATCGTAAGAAGCACTCTTTCGTTCAGATGAGGCCAAGTTAAGTTGTCAGGAGGAGATCGGCCAAGGATAGTTTTTACTTTGGGCGCTTGTTATTTCGGCCATTCCAGTTGACATCCGGATCTCTTGCGGCCACGCCGATAGGACACCTCGAGCTTGCGGAGCCAGCTCACGAGCTGCGAGGCGGAGGCCAGCGACCGAGCCCGAAGGCACGCGAGGGAAGGGTGGGCACGGGATGGGCACGGGATGGGCACGGGATGGGAAGATGAGAAGACGAGGTGGAAGGATGGAGCGCGTTGGCGAAGCATTTGTGGTTAACCTCAGCCTTCGCAGATGGCCACCACCTCTTATCCGCAGCAAAATGCCCTGCCGACGAATCTACACCGTCCCCTGCAAAGCTCTGCAAAGGCTCTGAAGCCGGCTACTGATCGTTCCAAACCTTCACTCAGCGCATAGAGCACGGCACTGAGGGGCACAAACCTGGCTCGCAAGTGAAGCACCCTTCCGGCCCTTCCCCATGTGGATGTTGGGTACGTGACTTTTCTGTTGCCGGGCCCTTTCGGAGGTTTCAGGGTGCATGGTGACTCAGTGCTCTCTTTTGTGTGCGCAGCCTTTGGCTCCCGGGGCTGGGTCAGCGGGGGCCATGTGTGCGGTGTGCCTGAGCCTCAGAGCGGTTGGTTTCGCAGGAATCTTGTGGAAGTCCGGGCCGCATCGGTGTTCCCTGCAGGCCCGCGTTGGTGACCCCATTTTCCCGCTCCTGCGAATCTGCCGCTGCCTTCAGCGACTTGGTGGTGTGAATTTCTTGAGGGCTCAGACCCTGTGGCCTATGTGGCCTCCGTTAGAGGGCTCTTTCTGTGGTCTGGGTCTGTTCTGGAAGGAGCCACTTTTTTTGATCGATTAGTAGGTAGTAAGCCCCGGATAAAAACACTACATAGATGCACCAAAACGAGCTGGAAAGTGACTTGTTGGAGGTATTTAATTTAGGGGAATGGTTGAGGCCTTTAGGTCTTCTGGTGCGTGGGTTTGTCAAATGCACCAAAACGAGCTTGGGCCGGTCCTCTTCTCCACGGGCACCCTTTGAAAACGTCCCCAAACTAGAAAGAACCTTTTTAAATGCCAGAAACAAGTTGCACCCTCTGAACATGCACCAAAACCGGCTCAAACTAGATCCAGTTTCTTTTCGGGCAACAAGGGGGCACCCTTCGTGAAAACGGTGGAACGCGCACACGGTGTGTCGTAGTGCCAGCTACCCACACTGTAGCTCAGGCAGCTCGTGGCAGCTCAAAGGACCGACGGTTTACATCGGGTCCGGGGGGAGAGGCGTGAGGCTTGCCCGCGCAGGAGCCCATTGAAGCTTATCCGTGGGCTTTGTCACCAAGGCCCTAAAACACAATGAAGCAATCCGCGCTGGGCTGAGCTTCATTTTCGGAGCAGTCAGAGCCGGGCGCCTGTGGCAAGTGAGAGCCCACGGAGATCAACCTCCATGTTGCTCTGCGACTTCCAAAACTCATCTCTCTCCCCTTTTTCACCCCTGCGTCGACTTGGGCATGACATTTACCCCCCCCTCCCCCGCAAGTTTGAAGGTCGCCAAGTTGGACTTGTTCCTCTTGATGGACACGCGGGGTTTTGACCAACACGTGTTGGCGGAGCCAAATTGAGGTGCTGCGCTTTGCCTGCGGCTTTAGCCTGGCCTGCGCGCCCCGGAGCGAGTGGGTCTCTGGGTGCGGGAAGTTGGCGGGGTTTCCACGGCGAATTTCGCAGCAGGGTTGGGTCATTCTTGTATAAAATAAGTGTTGACTGCATTTTGTTGAGAGCCTCCCTCCTCATGGTGATTCTCCTGAGACAACCATGTTTAAGCACATCTTGCCCAGCCGTGTGCTCACTGGGCCGGGTCAAGCCATGTTTGGGGGATGTGCTATGCAACCGGATTTGTTTTGCATGACCTCATGTTTCTTTTCCGGAGGCTCCTTCTTCAGTCTCACCGGCACAGATTCATTGCGATTGCTTCCTTGTCAATTGCTGCATTTGGATACATGCTTGGGCTGGCAGTGGCTTGTGCCGACTCTGGGCGGCGCTGGCTCGTTTCAGCCAAGGCGGTCAAAACGAATTCCGGCAGATCGCGGCTCGGCATTCCAAAGTGGGAAGCTTGTTTGGGAGCTGTCTAGATGTCATCCAGCCACCCAAGGCCTCGTAAAATACGCAGCCTCCAGTCACAACACATTGAATGTGCACATTGCCGATGTGGGAATGTGCCAAAGCCTCTAAAGTTTGCAGGGTCCTATTGTGGTGGGGACCTGTCTAGACATCATCAAAGAACCAGCAGTCCATGGGTTTTTGGCGCTCCTCTGATGTGAGTGCGTGAGACTGCTTGTGAATGTGGATGGAAAGGAAGGGCAAGTTGTTGGCAGTCTTTTCCTGCATTATGCAGGTGGGACCCAAGCTGGGGAATGCCCTTCGCTTCTGAGCAGGCAGGGTTAATGTTCCAAGCATCCCTTGATTGCCGCGACGGCGAGTGCCCCCCTTTCCTTTCGCCGCTTCCTCCGGTCTGACGAGCCAATCTTCATCGCCCGCGGGCCTGTCTCAGGGCACGTGTAGGTCACGGGAGTGCCCTCTAGAGGGGTTGGGGCAGGTCCCGACCGTCTTCCACGTGGGCCTGCTTTCCGGGGTTTCGCAGGCCGTCACTGCGCGGGGCGCCTCAGGAAAAACAAGAAGGTGGGGGATGGGGGGTGGGGGTGGGGGGTGTTCTGGTTCGGGAAAAGGCAAGGGGCAACTATATCATCATTACCTTCCCAGAGATAGCATGCAGGAATCATCAGTTCATGTCGGCTGAATGAGAAGTGAGCATTGATCCGCTGCGGTTTGGGTTAGGGTTACTGTAGCATATTTGTGTTAGGGTTACTGTAGCATATTTGTGTGAGTATTGTTGGCAGTTGTTTTTTCTCGCAGTCCTTGTGCGAAGAGCACCATTGCGAATTCCGTAGCAAGCTATGTTTGTTTTACTTTGCCGAACAAGGCTGGAGTGTGGATTGTGAGACTGCGGCTGCTGCGGTTTGTGAGTTCTGCGCTGTTGGAGGGCGTGATTGAGAACTTTTTCAGGATGTGTTTGAGGGTGCTGGAGTATGATGTTGAAATCTCAGTGCGCACAATTGTACACATGCATCCCTGCATGTATTAGACCTCGTATGCCAATATTTCCCGAAAGCTGCGCCCTGTCTGGGCTGGAGGGTTTTGCCACAAGCTGCCGTCACACAGTGCCTGCACGCATGCTTTGTTGTTTGTGTAAACTTGCCATTTCGACGTTCCTGGTTTGTACTGCTGTTGCATCTTTCCCGTCAAGGTGGACATTTCGGCATTGTTGGTTCATAGTGCCTGTGCTGTGCAGGTCAGCCACTGGCGAGGGTGCGGAGGTCAATGGAACAGTCAGTCTGAAGGAGACGAAGCCACCCGAAGGGCGTGGGACCTTTCATAGCTTTTTCAATATTCAGCGGAGCTCCCTTTGCCCTTGCAGCCTTTGTCATGCAGTTCTTCCTTGCGTTAAAAGTAGCAAGGACGCCCGCGTATGCCCAAAGCAGATTGCACTTGCGCCCAAGCGCGTCCCGGAAGGTGCGGCCCCGTCGGGCATGGGGCCAGCATTTTGCGCGCTTCCCTAGTCTTTGGCCAGTGGCGCATAGATTTGTATCGCATTGGGCTGAGCGGCCTTTCGTTGGTCTCACTTGCAGAGCAGCACTCACGGGTGGCAGGTTTCCAGGCGGGCTGTCATTGCCACCCATACTGCTACCAATGGTTTTTTGGGTACACACAGTTGAAGACGTACAGAGAGACACATAGTAAACAAACATACAAACACACATCACATACATCTATACATTATACACACACATATATATATATATACATGCATGTATGTTTATATATGTAGTTATATTTACATGCACACATGGTATGAACATGCATCTGCATAAACATAGTAACACACACACACAGACACACACACACACACAGATACATACACACACACAGACACACACACACAGACACACACACACACACACACACACACACACATATATATATATTATATATATCATACGCAGGTATATACGTTTCTGTGGATCAGAACGCAGGCGCTCGAGTGCCAACCTGGGTACGTCCTGTCCGAGAGCGACGAGTGCAGCCCCCTGGGCTGCGAGGTTGGCTTGGAGGGCGCCTGTGCCAGCTGTCGGCCCCAGGAGTCGGGGGGAATGACCCATCTCTGTGTGTGTGTGTGCGTTTCTTTCCGGGGCGGGGGGGGGGGGGCGGGAATATTGTGTGTGTGTGTGTGTGCCACAGCGGTTTGGAGCAATTTCCGATACAGGTGATGTTTCAGCGTTGTTCCGAAAACGGCCAGTGTCAGACTGAAGAGTTGATGCTGCTTCACGCTCCGGCCAGTGTGCTGATGCGCTGCTTTGCAAGCATCCATCCGAACCCACAAGACAGAAACTAGACGACCCCTCAGTCTAAAACTAGCAGTGGTGTGCTGAGACCTTCACTGGGCTGGGTACTTTCAAACAGCCTGCATTCATCTCAAGTGGCTGCTCAGCCTCCCAGAGTCTCAGAGGATCAGGGGCGCGGGCCGTGCTAAGCGGCTGAGAGGTTGCCTTGCACATGGTTTCGACCCATGTAGCTCATATTATCTCATTTTCCTTTGCGCTGATGCGCAGGAACTGCGGACGGCCGAGAACCAGTGTGCCAGCTGCAATGCAGGCTACTGGCTCAACACCGCCGCTTGAAACGCAGCGGTTTACGTGATCCTCACGCAAAAAGGTTGGTGATGAGCTATCGGAAACAGGGGAAACGGTGTAAGGCAAGCAATGTCGGGATACGCTAGCGCCTGTCTTGACACTTGCAGAGCACGCTGACTTGGTTGGCGAACCGCGTCTCCGATGTGCATCAGAACCCCCAGCCCGCGAGTTGAAGACCTTCTCAGATGTGCCTAGGGTCTAGGAGCCACGGGGCTTTACCAGAAGTGGCTTTGAGGGATCGCGTTCGTTGGCGTGGTTTGGGAGGGCATTGTGGACCGACTGTCCGACTGAGGAAACCTTCAACTGCATGCCGTATTTGTGCGAGACTGGTGAGGGTCCGGCTTGCAAGACCTGCGAGGCGCAAGGCAAAAGGACAGGGCAGCGGTATCATTCACTGCTTCGGCTGCGGCTGCTGATGCTGCCCACGCTGTTGCGCTACGTTTTTGTGCGGGGCGCGGGGTGTTGGGAATTGCTCGAAGCAGAAATTGACAAGCCGGCGTATTGATAGCACTCAATCGCACCAGGTTGACCAAAGTGGTGATCACTGGCTGCGTAGGACTGGGGAGAATCACTGTGGAGAATGTCATCCCGGTTTCGAGCTCATCTCAGGCACATGTGCGGCACAGCTTTTCTGGAAACATGATGCTTTGCGATCACATGCCCCCTCGCTTGACTTTCCGGCTCCGGAGCACAGTGTCAGGGGTGACCTGGCAGGCCTTTGCAACCTCATCTCCTGCATTTCTGGTGATGGACCCTCCTGTGCTGAGTGCGTCAGCTGCCTCAGTTGCACTTGTGCGGTGGATTGGAAGGAGGGATGGGGGCGGAAATTTGAGTGTCACCTTAGATTGAGTTATGACTAGAGAGATGTTTTCGCGGTTTTCTGCGCCCAGGTGCCGTTGAGCAACCGCACACGCCCCGGGCAATGCCTCTCGTGCAGCCCCGGGTTCCACGTCAATCCGGACAAGCGCTGTGAGCCCTATGTGTGCAGCACTGGTGCCGCGGGCGCGTGCAAGGTATGCCAAACTGCTGGTGCCAGGACGACGAATGATCAGTGCTCGCAGTGCAATGCTGGGTACTACTTGGACCCGGACACGCGGCTGTGCATGCCCTGGCCCTGCCGGGAGGGTGGCGGCGCTGGATGCAAGGCATGCACCAGCCAGCGAGACAGAACCGCCATTGACCAGTGTCAGGCAGGGTTGGGCAAAATTTGAAGCAAAGATTCTAAAGTTAGTTCCTGGCCCTCTGTAGAGGAACGCGAAAAGGTGGTTCAGACAGCCAAGTGTCAGGAGTGTAACCCGGGCTACGAGCTGCACACGGATGGGAGCTGCCGGCCTTTCAAGTGCCGAGATGTTGGCCCTGGCCGGCCCTGCAGGTCTTGCCGCACCCAGCGGGACCGACGCGCAGATGGCCAGTGCGCGGCGTGCAACCCCGGGTTCCGTCTGGGTGCCGAGGCGGGGAGGGGGGCCAGGGCCCGAGGGTTTGGGTGAGTAGTCCACTGATGCCGAAAAAGAAGGCAAGCAACGGAATCAATAGAATGATAGATTGTACATGTTGCCGGGCTTGACTCCCATCATGAGGTTGCTTAGGGGTTCCTGTTCGGTCCAGGGTACATTTCGGGGCAATTTATTAAGCATGCTTCATGTGGAAACCAACAACCGTTTCGAAGATGCATCTATCAAGAAAAGGGAACTGATGGCTAAGAACGTTGGGCTTTCACTTAGCCATACCTCTGCAGTTTCCAGTCATGTCTCTCCTGGGGAAGACATGATCTATTCACTCAGTATGGGGTGACAACGTGGCTGTAGGATGTACGCCTTGTTAGTCTTTTTTTGTTGGGGGGGGGGTGGAATCCATTGTGGGTGGACCAAGGACTGGTTTATCTCGTTATTTCATAGTTTCATCCTTCCCAACATCCTCCCCAACTGGCGCACCCACCGCATGGGGCACAGGCCTTCATGTGCATCCCCTACAGCTGCAACGAGGGCCCGGGTGCCGCCTGCAAGCTCTGCGCCGGCGCGGAGGCCGCCAGCCACGACGGGCAGTGCCTGGACCGGGTGCTGTCTTTAAGGATCTAGGCCATGAGCAGGCAACGTCTGCATGTATCTCATGGTTTGGTCCCCTGGCCAGTCCAATCCAAGAGGTAGGTAATAAAAAAAAAGGGGTAAACAAAACGTGGGCTGTTTCAAAGGTAATCCTTCATCCTTGCCTTGGGTTACGCAAGGGTCCCCTTTGCAGTGGCTTCCCTATAGGGATCATGGGTTATGTTTGGCCAACCCTTCATTTTTCCAAGAGAAGCTACAACATGGTTGCTATTGGGAAACATTTTGCATTTTTGCTTATTGTGGTTTAGTGGGAAATCCCCACTTGACTGCTAAACGTCAATCAAGTCCAGAAAACTTAAAACGTGTTTCAAGAACCGTGGTCGCCTGACGGGAGGACTGCAACCCAGGCTACGAGCTCCTGCCGGACGGCACCTGCCGGGCCTACGAGTGCGCTCCCTCAGACGGCGCCGGCTGCAAGACGTGCAAGGCGGCATAATGCATACCACTCACTCCCTGAGTTCCTGGACTCTAAGCTTTTGGGGAAGACCATTTTGGTGGTAAAAATAAACAGTTCGGACCTTCCACCCAGGAAGTGAGACCATACAATTAATAGTGTAATGTAATTGTAACACGAAAGCAGAATATGATTTAACGCAATACAACAAAACTCAGCACTTACTGTATTGTGTAGTATAACGAACACACACACATATACACATATGATACAATGCCTGTTTTGGAGTTTACGCCCTTCGGGATTTCCGAAGAGGGAAACCATCGGAAACACACAGAGTCCCTATTGTGCGACAAGCTTGCTGCAACCTTCCCCGCAACATCCGCAATTTCGCCAGGCGTTGGAGTTGCGCTCAGCGGACCAGCAGTGCGCCAGCTGCAACGAGGGATTCGTCCTGGCACCGGAGTCAGGTGTTTGCGTGGCGGAGGATTGCGCCACTGGACCAGGCAACCAATGCAGGACCAGACCTTGTTGCAGGTGTGACACGCCTGACCTACTACAAGACACCCATCTCATCATTCCCCTTGCTTTTGGGGACTAGGTGCAAGTCATCCTGCAGCAAGTGGGATTTACTTGCTTTTCCTGCTAGGAGGTGCACACCCGACCGCACCCAGTGCGACGAGTGCAACCGGGGCTACTTCCTCACGTCGGACCGGGGATGCCGGGCCTTCAGCTGCCACATCTCCGACAGCGGCTGCAAGGCCTGCCGCTCCTTGGAGCACCGCACGGCCGATGGCCAGTGCTCTGAGTGCCATGAGGGCTTCTTCCTGGACCAGGCGCGTGGGAAAGGTTGGCAGGGAGGAGCAAGGGCAGTGAGCAGGACAGGAAGATTCGGGCAAACATGCACATACGCAAACGCAAGAGTTGCATGTTCTCCATTCGATGTAAACTCAGTGTTGCTGTGCAACCTTGGCACGCGCTTGGGCCCACACACACACACACAGGGGCCCACACACCCAAACACACGCAAAAACCCACAAGCACACAAGAACACAAACCCACAAGCACACAGACACACAAGCAGACAGACACACAGCACACACGCACATAGCACACGTAGCACAACACAGCACAGCGCAACGCAAGACAACACAAACAGAAACACAAGCACGAACACAAACACAGCACAACACAAATAACACAACACAACACAACACAAATAACATAATATAACACAACACAACACAACACAACGCAACCCAACGCAACGCAACGCAACACAACACAACACAACACAACACAACACACAACACACAACACAGAACAAGCACACAAACCCACAAGCACACAGACACAAGCACACAGACACGCAGCACGCAGCACGCACACAGCACACACACACACACAGAGCACACACACACAGAGCACACACGCACACGCAGCACACACACACACACAGCACAACACAACACAACACAACACAAACACAAACACAAATACAGCACAGCACAACACAAATCAACACAACACAACACACCACACAACACAAAACACAAAACACAATTTTTTCAACACACACACACAACGCATGACACACGACACAGGACACACGACACACGACACACGACACACGACACACGACACACGGCACACAACACAACACAACACACGACACACAACACACAACACACAACGCACAACGCACAACACAACGTGCAACACGCAACACGCAACACGCAGCACACGACATACGACACACAACAAATGACACACGACACACCACACACGGCACACGGCACACGGGACACGGCACACGACACACACACGACACACACGACACACACGACACACACGACACACACGACACACACGACACACACGACACACACGACACACACGACACACACGACACACACGACACACACGACACACACGACACACACGACACACACGACACACACGACACACACGACACACACGACACACACACACACACACACACACACACAGACACACACGACACACACGACACACACACACACGACACACACGACACACACGACACACACACGACACACACGACACACACACACACGACACACACGACACACACGACACACACGACACACACACGACACACACACACACACACACGACACACACACACACACACACGACACACACGACACACACACACACACACGACACACACGACACACACACGACACACACACACACGACACACACGACACACACGACACACACGACACACACGACACACACGACACACACGACACACACGACACACACGACACACACGACACACACGACACACACGAGGCACACGACGCACACGACGCACACGACGCACACGACGCACACGACGCACACGACGCACACGACGCACACGACGCACACGACGCACACGACACACACGACACGACACACACGACACACACGACACACACGACACACACGACACACACGACACACACGACACACACACACACACGACACACACGACACACACGACACACACGACACACACACACGACACACACGACACACACGACACACGACACACACGACACACACGACACACACGACACACAACACAACACAACACAACACAAAACACACAACACGCAACACATAACACACAAGACAAACACGCTGCACGCAACACGCAACGTGCAACACAACACACACACACACACGCAAGACACAACACCCACAACACACACACACACAACACACACACACATCACACACACAAAGCACACACACAAGAAACACACAACACAGACAACACACACTGGCAAAAGGTCACTGTAAGGAGTAAAAGAGACTTGTCGGCAGGTACGTGGAGTCCGCATATCCTGACCAACTGCGCAGGGCTTCGTTGACCCGAGCTGCGCGGAAGGTCCTCAGGCCCCCTGCTGATTCAAGCAGCCTTTGGTCCCAGGCTGCGTCACACACACACACACACACCAGGCACTTCAACAGGTGCAGCATCTCGGACGTAAATCCTAAGTATGACACGCCCACGCACGTCCCTGGCCAGACAGCTGCTGTCTGCGGGCCAGCCTATTTGTGCTATCGTTGGGTTTGGAGCAGAGGCTAAATACTCTTCTGCAGCCACGCAACGCATTGCAAAGAATGCCCCGGCTCCTTGAAACGGCGGTGAACAAACTTCATTCTCTCCTCGCGCTTGGGTCTGCAAACTTTCAACCGGCATGACTAGAGTTCCCTGGCCAGAATCAAGGCACAAGGACCAAGTCAGAGAGGATCAAAGCATAACAGATCAAGGCTTAAGTCGCTCACCGCGTCAGAATGGATTAAGCGCCTTGCAGAATGCTGGGTGGATCAAGGCTTTCTGAATCACGTCAAAGCAGTCAGGACGGGTGTTGACAGACTAGGCCTCGCAAGAGGCTCACGACTGCCCCGCGAGCGGTAGGTCCGAGGACCACGCAGCCGGAAAACACACTGAAAAGCTCCCCGTAAGGAGCAAAAGAAACATGTCGGCAGAGCTTCGTTGGCCCGAGCTGCGCGGAAGGTCCTCAGGCCCCCTCCAAATTCAATAAGCCTTTGGTCTCAGGCTGTGGCACGGGCACACACACACACACCACACGCCACACACACACCACACGCCACACACCACACACCACACGCCACACACCACCACACACCACGCAGCACACACCACACACCACACACCGCACAACACGCAACACAGAACACACACAGAACACAGAACACAGAACACAGAACGCAGAACACAGAGCACAGAGCACAGAGCCCAGAGCACAGAACACAGAACACAGAACACAGAACACAGAACACAAAACACAGAACACAGCACAACACACACACACACAACACGCAACACACGCAACAAAACAACACACACACACAACACACACACACACACACAACACACACGTACAACACACACAACACATACGTACAACACACACACACATAGCACACAACACACACAACACAAACAACACACACACGACACATTCACAACACACACACACAACACACACAACACACAACACACACACAACACACACAACACACACAACACACACAACACACACAACACACACAACACACAATACACAACACACACACGCAACACACAGACAACACACACACACGCAACGCAGACACACAACACAACGCACAACACACACACACCACAGTTCACCACAACGCACCACAACGCACCACACCACACCACAGCGCACCATAACACAGCACAACCACTACACCACACCACAATTCGCCACAGCGCGCCACAACACACCACAACACACCACAACACACCACAACACACCGCGACACACCACAACAGACCACAACACACCGCAACACACCACAACACACCGCACCACAACTCAACGCCGAACAACGCTACACAACACCACACAACACCACACAGCGCCACACAAAACCACCGCAACACACCACAACACACCACAACACACCACAACACACCACATCACAACTCAACACCGAACAACGCCACACAACACCACACAACACCACACAGCGCAACACAAAATCACCACAACACACCGCAACACAACGCAACGCCACGCAAATCCAAACAAATCCCCACAACACACCGCAACACACCACAACGCACCAAAACAATCCACAATGCGCCGCAACACAACACGACACAACACCACCCCGCAGAGCGCCGCACAGAGCGCCACACAGAGCACCACACAGAGCGCCCCACAGAGCGCCCCACAGCGCACCCCGCAGCGCCCCGCGCAGCACGCCCCGTATCACACCGTACTGCGCGCGTCACAGCCAGCGCGTCGCGCACACACCGCACAGCGCGCTGCGCAGCACACCGCGCAGTGCGTCGCACAGCGCGCCGCGCAGCGTGCCAGCGCACCGCGCAGCACACCGCGCAGCACACCGCGCAGCACACCGTGCAGCAACGTGCAGGAACACGCAGCAACGCGCAGCAACAAACAGCAACACGCAGCAACACACAGCAACGCGCAGCCACGCGCAGCAACACACAGCAACACACAGCAACACAGTAGCCTTTTTGGCTCAAGCGGAGGCGGGGCGTCAGGGGCTCCGGCCAACAATTATTTGCGATGTTACTACACATCATTCTTTGTGTCTGACGCATAGCAGGATTTGAACACCGATCGGTTTTTGGTCGTTGCCGAGGCCCTCAAACGCATCAACGAGACGTTCAATGCCTTCACATCGAAGGCGCTTCGCAGTCAACAGGTGTTAGACAGGATTGAGTCCGTGGTCATGTTCCTAGCTCGTTCACCATTTCAGGATTTGTCTCCTACGACTTTGCTCTTATGACTTGGTGGAGCCAAGGCGTGCTTTGCATACGCATTGTGGTACAGTGTCGGGGAGGGCAAACTCCGAGCTCTTCTTGAGCAACCTGGCATTGCCGAAGGCCGCCGCACCTATGCCGTCAATACCAACACGGGTGGGTGAACCGTGGAGGTCTCTATTGACGAATGGAGTCATGCCTTGACTTTGCAACGCTGCCGCTGGGGGTACTCGAGAAGAGCGATGAGTCTAGTCCTTGGACTTAGGTCATTTCGTTATACAGCACTTGCTTTCAACCATCGTCTGTAGTCCCCAAAGGCTTCCGTTCCGGTGGGGGTGAGCAACTCATTGCTTTCCTCCCGAGATCTGCTTTCTTGTGGCGCTGGCCGCCCCTGCTGGTCCAAACTTTTGGTTCCAGGCGATTCTGCTCTTGTCTATGACAACGAGCGGCTCTCCCGCGATCGTCTCAAAGCTGGCCCCGCTGAGTGATGGCCCGGCACGTACAAGCAAGCCCCGCGGAAAAACTAGACCACGGTTGGCCCGAAAGCGTCACAGCCCCGTGACCATTCTGCGCAAGTTGCTCTGGGCAAGGTGCTCTGCGCAAACTGGTCTGTGCAAGTTGCAATGCGCAAGTTGCTCTGCGCAAGTTGCTTTGTGCAAGTTGCTCCGTGCAAGTTGCTCCGTGCAAGTTGCTCCGTGCAAGTTGCTCTGCGCAAGTTGCTCTGTGCACGCTGCTCCGTGCAAGTTGCTCTGTGCAAGTTGCTCTGCGCAAGTTGCTCCCTGCAAGTTGCTCTGTGCAAGTTATTCTGTGCAAGTTGCTCTGCGCAAGTTGTTCTGCGCAAGTTGCTCTGCGCAAGTTGCTCTGTCAAAGTTGCTCTGCGCAAATTGCTCTGTGCAAGCTGCTCTGTGCAAGTTGCTCTGTGCAAGTTGCTCTGCGCAAGTTGCTTTGTGCAAGTGGCTCTGTGCAAGAAGCTGCGTGCAACTGACTCTGTGCAAATGTCTCTGTACAAGTTGCTCTGTGCAAGTTATTCTGTGCAAGTTGCTCCCTGCAAGTTGCTCTGTGCAAGCTCCTCTGTGCAAGTTGCTCTGTGCAAGTTGCTCTGCGTAAGTTGCTCTGCGCAAGTTGCTCTAGGCAAGGCGCTTTGCGCAAACTGGTCTGTGCAAGTTGCTCTGCGCAAGTTGCTCTGCGCAAAATGGTCTGTGCAACTTGCGCAGAGCAAGTTGCTCTGCGCAAGTTGCTTTATACATTAACAACAAAATTCGCAAAAAACCTCGAGTTGTTGCACGTCGACCCCCGCAGAAGCGAGCGCCGCAGAAATCGCAAACAACTTGGGTTTTGCACCTCGGCCACGCCGATCCCCGCAGAGGCTCGAGTTTTTGCACCTCGACCACGCCAAGCCCCGCAAAGGGTCGCGCGGGCCAAAACAAAATCGCAAAAAACCTCGAGTTTTTGCACCTCGACCACGCCGATCCCCGCAGAGGGTCGCGCAGGCCAAAACAAAATCGCAAAAAACCTCGAGTTTTTTGCACCTCGACCACGCCGATCCCCGCAGAGGGTCGCGCGAGCCAAAACAAATGACTCCTTGCAACAATGACTCCTTGCAATGACTTTGCAATGACTCCTTGCAATGACTCCTTGCAATGACTTTCATGATGATGATTCCTTGCAATGACACCTTGTAATGACTCTCATGAGAACAACTCAAGTGAACCCAGCGGACGAACCCTTCGCCATGCTTTCGGGAAAACACACACACACAGCGCCACGCAGCAACACACAGCAACACACAGCAACACACAGCAACACACAGCAACGCACAGCAACACACACACACCACAACACACAGCACACACTCAACAACAACACACAACACACAAACACACAGCACACACAACACACACACAAAACACACACACACACACCACAGACACAGCTCACACACAACACACCACACACACAACACAACACAAACACACAACACGCAACACAGCACACAACACACAACATGCACAAAGCGCAACGCACAACGCACAACGCACGACGCACGACGCGCAACGCACGACGCGCAACGGACAACGGGCAACACACAACACACACACAACACACATCACAGCGCACAACGCACAACGCGCAACACACAACACACACAAAACACAAAACACTCACACACAACGCAGCACAGAGCACACAGCAAACAACACGCACAACGCGCAACGCGCAACGCGCAACGGACAGTGCGCAACGCGCAACACACACCGCACAACGCACAGCGCGCAACACACAACGTACAACGCGCAACGCGCGACACAGACACAACACAAAACACAAAACACGAAACTCAAAACAGAAACGCAAAGCTAAACACAACACAAAACACAAAACACAAAACACAAAACACAAAACACTACACTACACAACACAACACAACACAACACCACACACAACACACACACACATACCACAGCACAGCACAGCGCAGCGCAGCACAGCGCAGCAACACAAATCACAGACACACACACACACAACACAACACAAAGCACAGCACACCACAGCGCAGCACAGCACAGCGCAGCACAGCACAGCGCAACAGAAATTGCATGCAAGCATGCATGCATGCATGCATGCATAGATCAGCCTACGCATCCTGCAAAAACAAGGCATAGCTCTATATTTGTTAATCCCGAAGGGCACTTAAAACGTACTGGGCACTGGCCCAGTCTGGGGAGATTTGCCAAGCCCCAGGACTCCTTCTGCAAGCCGTGGCCATGCCGGCTGGGCCTGGGGTCTGCCTGCAAGGTTTGCAAGCCGCTGTTGGACCGCACGGGCCCGGACCAGTGCCAGGAGCTGGGCTCTTTCAATTCTCCTTGGACTGTTTTTGCTTAGGGGACATGTATACATGTGTATGTGTTGATGTGTTGTGCTTGGCTGTGCAGGCTGTGCATTTACATAAGCTTGTCTTTTTTTCATACATTCCGACCAATACCTATTAGCAGGTTTTTGTTACTCTTCCGTGATTTTCTGGTCCCTGGGCCGGTCACTTCCAAAGGTTGTAATTTGGAGGTTGTCAACGCTGTGGGAGGGGGAGCCAGCCCTTTGGGATAGTGGGATTTAGTGCCGCCAAGTATCCAAGGTCTACCAGTGAGCGCCTATTTTGAACTCGGAACCCCATGCAATTGTTGGTTGGACATGCTGTAACATGTGATCTGGAAACCTCAACACTGCTTGGTGGATGTGTCTCTCCATGTAGAATGCTGTTTGCGAAGGACCCCTTTCAGACCCAGATGTCAAAACTCCCAGGAGTGCAACGAGGGGCATCTGCTGAGTGGCACAAGTTGCGTGCCCTTCCGGTGCAGCACGGGGCCCGGCAAGGAGCGGGTCCGAACCTGCAGGTTTGGCTCCTGACGTCTCTTCAACGTGGCTCTGTATAGGATACGTTTGGGCTTGTCACAGTCCAAATGTCACCTCTCTATAGCTGATTTAGAGGAACCCTGGGCCTGTCAGGGTAAAGCATGGGTTTAAATTTTAAACGCTTGTCAACAAGGGGTCGGCGCAACCCTTCTGGAAAGCGATGTGTGGTAAGGCCTGCTCACTTGGAGTAGGATAGGTCATCATGTTTTCTCCTGGCACTTGAATCTATGATTTAATTATCACCATTTAAAGAACCATTACCTTGAGATTTCCCTATTGCCGGGTTGTGAACTACTATATTGTAGTTGGCCCACACGCATGCATCATCTGGAATCCATTCCCCAACAAAGGGCGCTTGTCCCCAGCTGGGGCAATGAAAATGGTCGGTGGGGTTCCCCTTTAGTTTTCCTTTAGAACATCAAACTTACCACTCACAGACAGGGTGCCTTGCATCTTTTCTTTGTTTTTTGCCTCTTTTGCGATATCCCTCGCTGTTTAGCTCTTTTCGCCGGGCTTTGCGTAGCACAAGCGGCGCCTCCGGGTTGAGTTTCGCAAGTTTTATGGGTTGACCACGGGTTCCATGGGTTGACCACAGGTTTCCCGTCTGTTTCCCGAACAATCTCATGAGGCGCGCAGGAAGGAAAGCACCCATCCCTGAGGAGTGCCAGACCTGCCGGCGGCTGCAAGATCTCACCAGCGACGACCAGTGTGAGTTCTGCAATTCGGGGCATTGGCTGACCAGCGCCTTTACTTGCGAGCCCTATACTTGCTCCACGGGCCCAGGGGACGCCTGCAAGGCCTTGAGGGACATGGGTAGGGGTCAAAATTAAACCGCTAAGGGACCCCAGTTTTAGTGCCTGGTTCCATGTACCAGGGTTGCATTTGGGGTGCCTATTTTCGGCCCACAGCCATATTTTGAGTGGGTGTTGTGGCGGCGGTGGTGGGTGGGGGTTGGGTGGCAGGGGAGTCTCCAACTGTATTGATTTTCGCACGAGGACGTTCGATTAATCCTCGTCAGGATAAAGAAGCCGTTGCTCTGTCTTGCAAAGACAAGGTCAAGTGACTGATAGTGAGAGAGTCCTGGGGTTTAACGCAAGGGAGGCCACCCAAAACGGAGCCCGTATTTGGATGTTCAGCGGGATTTGACCAGGGCTGTCGTCCACCAACTCCTGCCCCTGACAAGACCAAGTTGTCAGCCACTTACGTGATGCCGGACATCCAAGAGGGCCCCTCACTTGGGTGGGCCAGTCAAGATTTGGGGCAGCTGGTTTTTGACTCCTATTTGTGTAACCCTCGGATTCATCTGGAGGACCCCACTAGTGACTAGTGTCCGAGCTCCCCGCGTAAATGACGTGTTTTTTTTTTTTTTCCAAGCAGACTCGATCCTTGAAGGATTCCTGAGCCAAGAGTCGATGCCATCGGTGGCAGGCGTGCAAGAGCCTGGAGGAGCGCAGCGGGGACGGGCAGTGCAGTGCCTGCCACCCGGGCCACGAGCTGCGCGGAGAGGGCTGCCGGGCCTTCGAGTGCACTGCGGGAAAGGGGGCCGCCTGCAAGACCTGCGTGGCTGCGGAGAATCGGACCCAGGAGGAGGCCCGGGGAGTGGGGGTTAGAGGGTTGGAGGGTTGGAGGGTTGGAGGGTTGGAGGGTTGGAGGGTTGGAGGGTTGGAGGGTTGGAGGGTTGGAGGGGTTGGAGGGTTGGAGGGTTGGAGGGTTGGAGGTTTGTTGGGGTTGGAGGGTTGGAGGTTTGTTGGGGTTGGGATGGGGAGATTTGCGTTTCTTTGGGGAGTGGCGGGATCTTGGGCAAAGCATGTGGCATGATCCCGCGAGTGATGTCTTGGGCAGAAGTTTTGACCGCGGTGAGCAGGAGTGCATGGAGTGCAACCCGGGCTTCTTCCTGCAGAATGGCACCTGCCACAGCTACACATGCAGTGTGGGCCAGGGCAAGATGTGCAAGGAACGGGTTGGCAAACAGCGTTGGTGCCGCACAACCAAGTCAAGTGAGACCCGAAAAGTCAGCCTCCCAGAGAAAAAAGGAAAAACAACATTTCGCATCAAACATGAATTTGACAGCCACCCTAACCACCAGATGCGGACGGCTCAATTATCCTAGTTGCGCTTCACCAGGGGAAGCACGGAGTGGGATGGAGCAAGACTCTTCTCTTGCTAGCGTTTCTGCCTGGTAGGGAATACGGCTCGGCATTGGCTTATTCTGATGTCCTACTTGTATAGTATTCGCCAAGCTTGGCAATCAGCCGTGGGCATGTTTTTGGAGATGAGACTTTGGCCCAGTCTTCGGTCTTCGGTGCCATGGGCCAACCCTGAAAATGCCGAGCAATCTTGAAAGCACGACCAGAGAACCTCGAAAATACAAAAAGAGAGAGCCTGGCAAACACCAATAAACCGTTGTCAACACACCCAGAGAGAACCTTGAGCACACCAAGCAGACACCTTGAACAAACCAAGATCAAGCTTTGAAATCGCTAAGAGACTTGAACGCACCTTCCCCCCTTCCATTTTTCTGCCCTGCGAGGAGTGCCGTCCCCAGGATGCCCGCACGGGGCACCTGCAGTGCATGGCGCCTTGGTTGGGTTCGAGCGTGGCCGCTGTGGGGACTGCATGGGCGTTGTCTGGGTATGACTGCGGACAAACTACGGCGAACTCACCTGTAGGTAAAACGGGCTCGCCACGGAGGTCCGTTGCAGGGTGTTCCAGAAACAAGTCAAATCGTGGAACCAAGAGCTGGCTTCGTCCTTCAACGCGCCATCCAAAAGGGTGTCCCTAAATTTATGGAGTTGGTGAATTGGATTGTCCGCAATACATCATGGCTTCTACTTTCTGACAAGCCCGGAACTTCAACACGCCACCAACCCAATGCATGAATCGGGTATTCCTTGTAATGTCAGAGCTCGCTTTGCTTTTCGAAGCCCTATCACGGTTTGGGTACCGCGGATTTCAGGAGTGCCACTCGGGCTACTACCGGGACGCCAGCTTCCAGTGCGCACCCTACGGGTGCGAGGTGGACACCGGCTGCAGCGTGTGTGTCCACCAGAGCCTCCGCACTGCAGAGGGCCAATGCGCAGAGTGCCGGCCTGGGTATCGGAAGACCTTGGACGACCTGTGTGAGCCGTACTCCTGCCTGATAGGCGGGGCAAAATCGAAGCTCTGGAGTGGTTTGGAGGGGTGGTCCCACAAACAAGAGCAATGCAGGGAAGACAAAAGCAACTCCGGACATTCCCTGCACTGCTCGGATGGAGCCAGCAGAGTGTACCCCATGTTTTTGTTTGAGACGTTTGAGTAGACCTGACAGATATGCAAACATGTACACCTTGCCAATAAAATTTGGCCCTCAGCAAGCTGCACGTTTCTTCCCAGTTTCATCTACGTCGCCCATTTGGAGACGTGCCTTTTACCAATTCAAGTTCCGATTTGCCTAGATCTGTGGGAATTCTTTACATGGCTTGCCACACGACAGTTATTCCAACTGGCTGGTCTTGCCCAATGTGCGCTTTTGATCTAGCCTTGCCTAACTATGCTGGAAGATCACATCAGGTTTGCAGCGTCCCAGATGTACATTGATGGCCGGGCGTGCAAATGTAAACTGAGGATTCCTTTGAAGGACCGTGCCAGTCAGAGGGCCACATGTTTTCCAGAAAGCAGTGTGAATACATTGGGGGGTTCTAAAGCGGTCACTGTAAGGCATTGTGTTTAGTTAGATTGTGGCGCCAACGCACGTGTTGCTCATTTTGCTGCGCAGGCTCGCACACAATTTCCCTCTGAAATCCTTAATGTTGATTCTGCGCAGGCTCACACCAAATGCTTAGGGCTTTCGAGGGAGCAGTCTGGCAGTGGTGCGGTGCGGACTTTGGGCGTGTTGAGCGGCGCAAACTTGTAATATCGAGCATGAACCTCTTCAGATCACTCTCGCTGTGGCCTGGTGCAATTTCTGATCAGCGAGCATAAGCCCTGCAGACTTTGGGCCTGTTGAATCGCAGTTGCTATGGCGCGGTGCGAATTTGGAACATCGAAAGTGGCTGCTGCTGCGGACCTTGGCGGGGTGCAACTCTGAAATGCTGAATGCCGCAATTCTGAATGCCGCGTCGCGGTGGCGTGGTGCAACTTGCACATGTCGAGAGCACAGAACTGGCACATATTTGTCGGCAAGAGATCTTGTAGAGGATGCTCTCTACAGATCTTGGTGGTTCGTGGAGATCCCCTCGCAAGGTTTGTGCAGAACCTGCAAAGATTTCCTTGAGAGATCTTGTAGAGGATGCTAAGAGACAGATCGTGGCAGATCTCGCCAAGAGATCCTATCCAGATATCTTGCGCAGAGATCCTCCTAAGAGTCCTGAGATCCTTCCACACAGATCTTACCCTGACAATGTTTTCCAAACAGCTTCGACCGCTGTTGGGGTCGCTTGCCGTGATAACCTACTGGGGCACTAGAGATAGCCAGGTGAGGGTGCGGCCTGCAAGGCCTGCCGGCCCCAGGGTGAGCGCACAGCAGATGGAGCCTCGGCGGGTCGTTGGGCTGTTGTTCGAATGAGAAACCATGGGAGTTTGTGAGTAGGCCTGATGTTTTTTCACAAAGCAATGGTTTTGTTCAACCCCAAATGGAAAGGGGTGGTGGAGGGAGGTCTTGAAGAGGGGCGGGGCGGGGGATAGCAGTCCCGGACGTCAGTTCCGTGAGTTGTACTGCAAGGTTGCTCCCTCGGCTTCATGGCCCTTGCTCGGAAGTTCTCACGGGCCCCCACTGATTTTTGACAACCTGTGCTTGATCCCAGCTTCAGCCCGACATTCGAACTTCCGTTTGCCCCATGCCCCACCTCCATAGGTCAGTGCCTGGACTGCAACGCTGGCTACGATTTGAACGACGCCGGCAGCTGCGGGGCATTCACCTGCACCACCGGTGCGGATGAGGGCTGCAAGGCACCAGAGATGCTACATGTGAAGAGCTCTAAGCTTCCCCATGTTTTGAAAGTGAGTTTTCCTTGCACTTTTCCGCCAGGCCAAGGCGCCAGAGTTTTTGCTACGACCATGTTTGCAGCTGTACCTGGAGCTCCGTTTTCTGCGGCCAAAAGTTCAAGCGCTAAGCCCAGAGCCCCGATCCCTGGCCGGCAGGTGTGCCGCGGCCCTGCGCCGGCGGAGTTGGTCCCCAAGCCCAGCTTCGAGAAAAGCCTCAGCGGCCAGATGCCCGGCTGCAGCTCAAAGGAAATCAACACAATGCTGGAGCACTTGTCTCAGATGGGACCACATGTTGGCGTCCGTTTTGGAATCGAGATCATGCGGGTCCCCAATTTTGGATTGAGCATTTCTTGGTAGACGGACGATATTTGTTTGCGGCAGCGTGACGGCTGCCAAGCAGAATGTGCTTTTATGCTGGTCCTCAGATTTCGCAGGTTGTGTTGAGCAAGGTTCCTATGTCTCCCTTTCAAGCAGTTTTGTTCACGAATTTTGGTTGCCAACTTGAGGAGTCGTCGGTGGTGGGGTGGGGGAAGTATGGGGAGCCCTGAGCGGGCATGCGCATCAAACAGAAATTCATTTAGGATCAATAAACAATTAGTTCGGGATCAAGAACAACTTATTCCAGACCATGTGAAGGAGAAGGCAGTTCGCAAGTTAGTATCCGGTGCACCCTGGAGCAAAGGGCGGCTAGGTAAGTCTTAGTAATTTAGCAAGTTAGCAAGTTGGAAAGTTAGCCAGTTAGCCAGCTAGCAAGTCAGTAAGTTAGCAAATTAGTAGTTGCGCCAGTTAGTAAGTTAACAAGGTAGACTGGGGGGGGTGGAGACTAAGTTGGTGTGGAGGAAAGGGCAGTTAGCGCGGTACCAGTGCTATTTCTACTGGTTGATCGTTGGCTTCAGCTTTCCCCGAAAGAGCATCTTGACGTGGACCATGGCCCGCGAGAAGTTTTGACCATGACATATATGAAGATCATGCCCTGTTGGGCTGGGACCCTTCACTACACCGGCACAGCTTCGGCAGAATCCACTCACGGTCCGTCGTCATCGGGTCTGCCAGTTTCTCAATTTCCTCGTTTTGGACTTCCGAAAGTGGCATGTTTATAGTAGAATGCAACTTGTGAGGAGGAAGTCCAGTGACCACTATTTGTCAGACGACCCTTCTCAAGCCTTAGAAGGCATGACAGTTGCGCAGCATGCTCATGAGTTGTTTCAAAGCTCGTGCACGCGGTGCTGCACGTTGCTCATTGCATTTGGCGGTGCAGGACCTGCCCCGAGAACGTGAAACTGATCGTGTACACTAGCAACAAGCTGATCTCTCCAGCAAACTGCTCTGATGCTGTTTGCAACGATGCACGATGTAACGAGGCGGGGCCGCATTTTCCCTCCCAGTGTCGTCTTGAACCCTGGTTTCCCAACAAGATAGCACACTCAAAGTCTGCCTCGGCATGCGCGAGTGCAGGCCGAGTTCGAGATTTTGGCCAAGCCGGATGCCTTCTGGCAGTGCAGTTGCATCAAGGCCAGCCGGGTGCGGCTCCCCGGGGTGCAAGAAATTCATTCGGACTGTAGAGACATGGGGTGAACAAGGTGGATTGTTCCCACCAATGTCATACACACACAGACACACCTGAAAGGTCACAAAGGGCATATGGACAATGCTGATTGTCTGTGCAAAGAATAGAGAGTGTATGCACATTGAATGCCCCCGTTTGGGTTGGCTTGTTTTTGTCGCCGTGTTTTTCTCCGTTGGGTGGGGCTCCAAATGATAACAACTGGGAGGGTGCACATAGTTTTGTGAATGGACCGCGCGGAGGCCAAGGCCACTTGCGAGAAGCGGACAGAGGACGCGGCGACCACATCCTACACGCTGGCGAATTGCCAGGTGGGTATGCCTCAAAATCCAGGGTTTGAACTCTGTGCATGGAACTTTTCCTTTTTCTTTTAAGTCTAAAAGGCCAAAAGGAAATCCACCCGGAGGTTCCGCATTTAGAGACACACCCACATGTTTAGGGAATCTACTGCTTTGTCGGCGCAGGTGCAGGTCAGGCACGTCCTCACAGCATCTTGTATAGACGGGCAGATGTGAGCCAGTCGCGGAGGGGGGTGGGATGTGGATGATGGCAAGGTTTCTGAAACGGATGAAGTTGAGGACGTGGGGAAGGGAGTAGGTGAAGGGACCTTTTCTTTCGTGTGCACAAGTCCCGAGGCCCGAAGAGCACAAAGCTCTCCTGCATGCCCGGAGGATTGCGCTTGCGCTTCTCAACAGCCTTCCTCGTCATGACTCATACTTCTCACTTCCTGTCGTGGTTTGCTTGAGGCGCCCAAGGGCAGCCAATTACCCCTTGATGGTTTAGACCCTTGAGAAATGGACAACTATCCGACAGGATCTTTGCAGTTCCACTTATTTTTCCTTGGCAGAGTATTTCGCGTTTTGCTGAGTCCAGCCCTTTGACGAATGTGGCCGCCCTTTTGATTCTTTGCATAATGGTGTTGAACAGCAAACCCAAGGAACTACCCAGTTGCCGTGGTCCTCTAAATGCATCTAATATTGCAAGCAAGCCAGCCGGCGATAAAGGTTTTCATTGTCCCCTACTTGCAAGATTTTGGATCAGACATGCCTTGGGAAGACACCCCGTTCTTTTCCAACTTGCGATTCCCATGAAGCTGCCGTTTGCCCACCTTGAGGCAAACAACCAGTGCCAGGAATGTCGCTCGGCTTTGCGCGAGCGCTTCTGAGAGTTGTTTGGATCCTCTCTGGGGTTGCGCCCTTGGGAAACAACCCCAATAGTCGGTCGTAGTTGGAATTTGCACCCTTAAAAATTTAAGCAACGGGTGGAATTCCAGGAACGAAGCCAAAAAACATCTTCAAGAGCTGATGGGCCAGCCAAGGGCCTTGGGGGAGATGGGTAACACGTCTTGCCCTCCCACAGGAGAAGCGGAGTTTCCTTCAATGCTTGCTTGTGGGAGTCCATGTGTGGTTCCGCTGCCTTTGGGGGCCTTCCTTAGTGTCTGGTCTCTTACAGGTATGTCATCACGCTGCGTGTGCCAGCAGTGAACGCTTCACCCCTAACAAGGGGCTCGTACTAGAGGTTCAGTGTTTTCAGAAACCTTCCCTTCAGCTTTCCACACGTTAAGCTCTTGTTCTTCGAGTTCTTGTTCGCATGTAGCCATTGCAGTCCGCGCTCGGCTTTGTGCAGCTTTTCGATGCTATACGGCAAGCAGTCTTCCCTCATTTCGGAGAAGGTGGGCCGGGCTGAGGCAACCCCGGGTACTACTTGGGCGCCGACCTCATGTGCAAACCCTTCAGCTGCCTCATGGGCGCAGGCTGCCTTGGGGCTTTGGCTGGGGCTGAGAGCCAGCTTGCACCCACTGGGCAATCTGATGGGCTTACGTGTGTGCACTAAAAGGGGGCACCCCCTTTAATTCTGCAGGGTTTTATGATGGGACGGGATGGGCCTACCTGTGCTGCAGGAAGCGCCTGCAAAAGCTGTGTGGCCCAGGCGTCCAGGCGCGGGGGGTAGGTTGCAGCGCGGAATGGCGACGAGTTGGCATCCAAGGGGCAAGGGAGCCCCCAGTTCCCTGGAAGGATGGAATGACTGAAACAAAAGGGGAAGGGCAGGGAAGCTTTCGAGTCTTGCAGGATTCCATGACTTGATCCAGCCACTTGCGTGTTCTTGTTTGCTGAACTGCTGGATGGCGCAGCAGAAAGAGAGAGAGAGAGAGAGAAAGCGAGAGATCGGAAGTGTTGGGTTCCTTTTGAGGGGGCTAGGCAGCCAGGCAGTGTGGCACATGGCTGGGCATTCGCCCACTTGTTGTGTTGGTGCGCAGCCATTTTTGTTCTGCCTTTCACAGTTACCTTGCTAAATTTTGAGAACTGTGCCTGGCCAGGACTGGCAAGGACCAGTGCTCGGCGTGCAACGCAGGGCACTACCTGGCGAAAGACCTGACCTGCAAGCCCTTCACCTGCGACACGGGCCCGGCCAATGCTTGCAACTTGCTCGGGCAGCAACTTCCTGAGGTTGGGGTGAAAGATAAAGGTTTACACTGGAACTGGCACATATGTGTTAAGCTTCTTGACTGGGCGGGATGCTCCTGGAGCAAGCAGAAGAGAGGTTACACAAGCCACCCCCAGCAGCCGAAGACAAAGCGGGCCTGAGATCTCAAGCCGGTTGACACTGCAGCAGCCACTCGCGTCCCTCCCCGTACAAAATGAGATGCCAGTGGTCAGAATCATTTCGATTCATACAGGTATATGTGCACACAACGAGTTCACGCAATGGCTTTTGCATCATCAATGCCATTTGTTCACACAGAAGCAGGGAGAACTTTTGCTTGTCGCCAAGGCAAAACCTGCCGTCCGGGTGGGACGAGGACTAGCAATGGCCAGTGCGCGGAGTGCAACCCTGGCTACGGCCTCACTGCTGCCGCCACTTGCGAGATTTTCAGCTGCTTCACAGGTGGGGAGCCTTTGGGTGGGCTGGACAAAGCTCCAGATCGGCTCGCTTTGTTGAGAGGCCCAACCCGCCTTTGGCAACGCAGACTCCTTCCACTTGGACATTCGAAGTGTTGAATCCAAAATTGCTCTGCCTCTGGGATGGTTTTAGCGTGCTCTGTCTTTGTCGTTGTTTGATCAGCTCACCGCGCGGGCAGGTGACGCAGACTCCTGCAGGCGGTGCCGGGACGTGTCGGTTCGCACTGCCAAGAACCAATGCTTCGAGTGCAACCGAGGACGGGGATGGAAACGATTGCATTGTTTCTTTTGTTCACGTGGCTTGCGGGAAACACGACCCCAAAAAAGCTGTCTCTCTTTACTGACAGACACAAATCAGTCTTGTTCGATGGGAGGCAACCGCAGATGTGTTTCTCTTTGCATCTCGCCCTGGAGACCTAGTTATGGGTTTCGCTAGGGGCTTTTCCCCCTTCATGTTTGGCAATTGCGAAGCCTTCGGCCGCTTGCCCGATCGGGCATCTTCAAGGGGCAGCGGAGCCGGTTTTTCCAAGCAACTGGACGATGTGGCCAGGATACCTCCTTTCGAAAGACTTCAAGTGCGAGCCGATCACTTGTTTGGCGGGGGATGGCAGTGCATGCAAGACATGCCGAGCATCTGAAGAGAGCTCAGCAAACGACACTTGCATTGGGCAAATGTAGGCATACGTAGCACATCCATGAAATTCTTGCGTGAATGCTAGCATGTGCTTCACTTTGACGTGTCTTGCGCTTTGCTTATTTTATCTTGTGCGAAGCTGTGTTTTTCCATGGCTGAAAGCCCAAGCTAGTTTGTTGCCAAGGATCAGTGCCAAGAGTGCAATCCTGGCTACGAGCTGACGGCGGATTTCAAGTGTAGCCCACTCACCTGCACTACTGGATCAGATGCTGGCTGCAAAGTTTGCCGAAGCCGGGCGCTTAGAAACTTCAGAGTGACAGCTGCCAGATTGCCCGAAAAGTCTCGTCGAAGCTAAGGCCTTGCAAAGAGAACCGCCCACGAGCAGTGCAAGGAGTGCATGGCGGGCTATGTGCGGACGGTGGACCACAAGTGCGAGCCACTTTTGTGCGACGAGGGTCCGGGATCTCTGTGCAAGAGGTGCCAGGAGCAGGATATGCTCACAGCGGATGACCAGTGTGCCGAGTGTAATCCTGGCTATGCCCTCACTGAGGAGCAGGGTCCTTTTAGACCTTTCATGAAACAAATATGGCCGCACCCGGCGGCATGCTAAACCTTCTCATAAACAGGGTGAAACGGGGACCGCCCCGCCAGCACGCCCGCCGAGGACCTTTCCTGCGTGAGCTTCAGCTGCAGCATCGGGCAAGGCAGCAGTTGCAAGAGCTGCAGGAACACGATCAACGCCACTGCAGACAACCAATGCAGTGAGTGCAACCCGGGGCACGAGCTGCTGCCGGATGGGACCTGCGTGCCTTTCGCCTGCCGGATCGGCAACGGCACGGAATGCAAAAGCTGCCGGGACCCGCAGGCAAGGGCGAACCACCTGAAAGTAAACATGTTCTTATGATTGTTTACACAACCTGCTTTTGGTTTTCTGAGGATGTTCAACCACGATATACCCAACCCTAGGACCGAACTGCGGACTGGCAGTGCACGGAGTGCAATGAGGGGTTCCTGCTAACTGCAGATGGCCTGTGCACGGCCAAGAAGTGCTCAACCGACGGGAATTCTGCCTGCGTGGTTTGCGGTCCTGGTGCTGACTGTGACAAGTGCCGCCCTGGAAGCTTGCCCAATGAAGTCTTGTTTTGTTTCTTCTTTATTTTGTTTTTCGCTGGCGGAGTAGTCAAACCGGATCAATAGGGGGGGTGTTCCTCCCCTCTTAAACTGGAACCCCCCCTATGAATCAACCAGGTGTTTATTGATTCTGGGTTGAACTTAGGTTTTGGGTGCCTTTTCCTTTGCTTTCCCTTCCCTTGCTTTTCAATTTGCCCAAGCAGCTGTTTGTACGAGTTAGGATATGAGCTGACTCCGTCCTTCGCTTGCAAGCCTCACGTTTGCCGAACTGGAGGCACGGGACATATGTTGTGGCGCGTTGGGCCAAGACCAGGGAAGGCAGCGCGAGAATTGAACTTGGGCGAGTACGGGGTTTTTTCCAATCCAGGAATTGAAGTTCTGAAAAGGGTTGATCTGAGTTTTGGTCAGCGCTGTTGCTTGCAAGCCGTGCAAGCCGTGCAAGTGCGTAGGTGGCTCGCTTTGCCAGACTTGCCGGCCGCAGCAGCTGCGCACAGCTGGTGGGCAATGCGAGAGCTGCAACGCTGGTTTCGCGTTGGCCGATGGCAAGTGCAAGCCCTTCACCTGCATCACTGGCTCCGGTACTTCGTGTGACTCGGGCGGACAGTTTTGTCAACGTTTGAGGAAATGCCTTTCTTGACTTTGGTATCTACCGTCAACATTATATTAACCAGGCTCCCGCCTGCTGCCGCCGACCCTCGGCGCATTAAGGGAAAAGTCACAAGGACCGGTCCTGAAACACGTCCGCAAACCCAGGGACCACCTATAAGATCCTCTACGACCACAAACAAGGATTAACGGAAAAGTCAGAAATAGGGCAGCTAGTCCGTTAATTACCGCTTGGGCCGGCTTGCGCCCAAGTCACTTCGAGTTGGCCCGGGAGCAGTCGCCTCTCCCGGGGTCGCCCTGAAACTGGCCCTCCCGAAGTTGACCAGAAACAAGGATTAACGGAAAAGTCAGAAATAGGGCAGCTAGTCCGTTAATTACCGCTTGGGCCGGCTTGCGCCCAAGTCACTTCGAGTTGGCCGGGAGCAGTCGCCTCTCCCGGGGTCGCCCTGAAGTTGCCCTGGACCGGTCGCCGGCAGGGACCGGGACTTGGGACCCTGTCCAGGCTGGTCCCAGTCTGGCGCGGTTTGACTTGACGTATTGGACTCTCTTGCAGAATAGATGCAATCCTCTACTACCACAAGGACGTCAACAACCGCACGGGCCGGTTTGGTCGCAGGGTCATGGGTGCCAGTCCGGAAAGGTGTCTGGAGCGGTTTGAGGCAGCACAGCAGTTTGAATTGGGACCCAAGACCAGCGGTCACACCAGGACTCGATCCTGGTCCTGGGACCAGTCCCAGGACCAGTCCCAGGACTGGTCCCAGGACCGCCTGACTGGTCCCGGGACCAGTCCTGTAACTGGTCCCGGGACCGGTCCCAGGACCGGTTTTGGTAATCCGAAACAGCAGAACCAGGGTCCCAGGACCAGTCCCAGGACTGGTCCCAGGACTGGTCCCAGGACTGGTCCCAGGACCGGTCCCGGGACCGGTCCCGGGACCGGTCCTGGGAATCCACTTTTTGTGGGTTCGGGCGTGCCCCCAGGGACTATCATTGATTCCAATCACTTCCAGTTGCATCCCACGCCGGTCCCCTCTGCAGGAGGCTGGGACGGGAGGCAGAGGGTCGGCGGATTATGTTTTTCCGATCTTTCGAACCGTTCGAAAGCCCCGCTTATGCTTTGGACAGATCCCGTGGCTTCTCTCAGTCGGAGCGGGCCCTTGAAGGCCACTGAAAAGTCTTTGTGGATGGCCGGGACAGAGAATCCCCGGCCACTCCAAAAGCCTCTTTGTTGTAGCGCTGCAACAGGCCTGGTGGTCGTTCCGGGAAGCGTTGCCTGGTGGTCGTTCCGCGCCGAGGCAAGAAGTGCAAGCCGCAGAGTGATCGCACAGCGGACAACCAGTGTGAGGAGTGTAATATTGGCCATGTCCTGGATCAGGCCGGGTGAACGGGGGTCAACTCAACAAGAGCTAGAGCTTAGGCGTCACCTGGTGAAATCTTTGAAGCAACGCTTTCGTTTATTCCATGTGTTGATGTTGTGCCCCTGCTCAGTTGTTCTTTGACAGTCCGCTTTCGCTCCGAAGTCTCCTGTCCTTTCCAGTTGCTGGCTTTGCCATTTGTTCCTCCGCCCCGCTTTTACCGTACCACTTTGTTTGCCCGACGGGCAGAATGGCAATGATGTCCAGAGAGCCCAGAGAGCAGATTCATTCCCGTTTCTTCGTCGACTCGTCCCCGAGGACAGCCGCTGCGTGCAGTACCGGTGCAGCACGGGGCAGGGCCCGGCAGCTGGGCCAAGGGGGTGAGGGGGGGCAGAGGGGGATGTGCCGTGCGGGGGGTTGGGGGGGTGCATATGTAGATATTGGGTATCGTTTAATCTTGTTGATGCATTGGGAGGTGCAATTGAGAACGCCGTTTTTTTTAAAATCATGTGTGGAGGCTAGGCCCCGAAAGTTTGGCTGTAACGCGATATGGTCGCAATGTATTTGACACTACTTGTTGGCACAATGGCAGTGGGCTGCACCATTGGATGTTGCTTGGTCATCTCAGGGAGATTGAGAGCAGCCCGGACCGTGGGAGTAGGTTCAAACAATAGGAGCAGGTTTGGGCAAATCGTACTGGGCGGAGCGCATTTTGGCCGTGAGAGGTGAGTGGTCATGCCACCCCTGGTTCCTCCGCCAATGTCTACTTTGGTGGCGCTTGCATGACAAAAGCCAGCCAATGACACGATCAGATTCTTGACGCCCAGGCCTGCAAGACATGCAAGAAGCCAGTAGACCTGACGGCGGATGACCAGTGCGAGGCTTGCAACCCGGGCTATGGGTTGTCGGAGGACTTCCAGTGCGAGCCCTTGGTGTGCGAGGAGGGCAAGGGGGCGAAGTGTGCCAGCTGTCGCCCGCGTCTGGATCGGACGGCCAAGGGGCAGTGCATGGTTTGCAACCCCGGCTACGAGCTGCTCAAATGAATTCCACCCTTTGGTTTCTTTCGGTTTTGCTGCACCCCTTTTCGTTTGGACCATGTTGAAGGTGCTCGCTCGAAACCATCATCCTGACAAGTCTTTGGACAATTTAAGCAGGGCAGCCCGGATTGGCGAATGTGCTTCCTGACTGAGGCTGACGTCCGACCTAAAGTGCGCGCCCTTGACCTGCAAGGTTGGGGACTCCAGCTCGGATTGCAAGGTCTGCGCCGGGCAAGACGAGCGCCAGGCGGGAGGTGGCGCATGGCTTGTCTCCGCTAGCACGCGAAGAGTTCCCAGGGTCGTATGGCAATGCCACGGGTTGTTGAGCCCTGAAAACCATGGCAAGCAAACGTTTCAGGCAAACTCCAAAAAGGCATTCCGACCTTTCCATTTGTTCCTGGCATTTCTTCGCCTCACAGAGGAACATTTGCGTTGTGTCGACAGGGCGCCATGGTCTCTCATCTCGACATGCTTGATTTTGCTGCGATGCTTTTCACTACCACCTCGAAAGGCATCATGGGATGCACAGCCACCCCGGCTTCCCCTGGGTGTGGCTTGGGAGTAGTGGAAACTATCCTGAAGCTCCTCCAGTGTTCCAACAAAAGCGCACAAGTTCGTCTTCTGCATTTTTGGTTGGACCGTTAGGTCCAGAACCACTGCACGGAGTGCAACCCCGGAGCGGGCCTGGTGGGCCCTCTGTGCCAGCGCCTCACCTGCGAGACGGGGCAAGGCGCCGCCTGCAAGCGCTGCGCCCCAGCGGAGCTGCGGACGGTATTCGACCAGTGCGAGGCCTGCAACCCCGGCTACGCCTTGGAGGCGGGGAGGGGGCCTTTCAACGTGGAGCCCAACCTCTGAAGGAGAGAGATAACGGCCCGAAGCTGACCTGCCTGCGAGTTGCGAGGTTTGGGTTGAAGGCTTTCTTGGCCAGGCTTTTTATGCGTTGCACAACTGTCGCGTTTTCTTCACAAGTGCCGGTGGTTTTGACAGTTGAACCCCATGTACCCCAACCACCGAACGAGCAACTGGCAACAGTTGTGATAATCGCAGTCGGGTCCCCGAATTCACAGGTCAGACCAGGGGTTCAACGCTTGGTAGCCCCGCTTCAAAGAGGGATCTAGGGAGGGAACCACATGGGAAACATTCCTTGTCGCTTGGGGTCGGGCTGGGTGCTAGGGCTCCACCTGCATGGCTATCCCGTGCGAGCTCGGGGAGGACGAGAAGTGCAAGACCTGTCGGTCACAGGAAGCCCGCACCAAGGAGACGGAAGGGGTTCCATGCGTCTGAATCGGTCATTCTCAGACAAAAAAACGTATATGAGAGATGATGGTAAAGTAAAACATAGATGTCGCTGAGGTCAGTTTGGCTGAAACCGTCTACCAGTGCCATCTTTTCCAAACGTACACCTAGGGTGGGCCCGGCTTTTGTGATGCTAGGGAACCTCCCCTTCTAAATGGAGAAGGCCTTCCATCAGTAGCGCCGTGGTTGCAATTCCCACACCCCCGAAGGAGAACGAGTGCGAGAGTTGCAATCCCGGCTACACGCTGGTGAATCGTCTTGGAGGTTCCTGGCCCGTACTTGTCGTAAGAGATTCCTTTTCGTTTTGTTCCTTTCCTTCTTCTTCCAACCTTTCCCTTCCTTCGTCGTTTAAACGTAGGCTGGACCTGCGAGCCCTACAGCTGCACAGAGGGGCCAGGGGAGGCGTGCAAGAGCTGCCAGCCGCAGCAGAACCGCACGGGCGCGGACCAATGCGCTGCCTGCAACACCGGCGTGGGGCCCCGGAGCCCCGGAACCCAGGACCAAAACGCACACCCAAAACCACTGACCTGCACTCAGCGCTGCGTTGAATCCAAACAACTTGAAAGTGAGCGGGCAGTCCGCTTGCCATGTGGCCCTGACGTTGCTTTAACTCTTTACCGTTTGTTTTTGAGGACCAGGTTTTGAGTATCGAGCAGGGGGCACGGGGGCCAACACCTCTCAGACGAAGCTCGCTGTCTCTTTCGAGCAACTGCCTGCAGGGGAGTGTCCGAACCAGCATTTGACGATTGCGGTGCCTGGGGTGCTGTTCGGGCGATTTGGGATGAATTGAGCCGACCTTGCGCTTGCTCCAAGGGTATGAGCTCCTGTCGGACGGCAACTGCAAGCCTTTCAGCTGCACGACTGGCCTTGGCATCGCGTGCAAGGCCATGGCGCCTCAAAATTGGCCTTTTTGGGGTCTCAAGCCTTGCAATGGAGGTCCTGACAAACAGAGAGTCCAATGATGCATAGGGTGGCCCTTCACCTTTTGCAGGCTTTCTTTTTCCATGGGAATAGAAGAGTTTGCGCTGTCATGGTAGCAGCTGATTTCGTTTTCTTCCTTACGCATGCTGTACCCATGCGCAAACCAGATCATCGCAAGTCTTCTGCGGCCTGATCATTGAGCAGTCTGCTTTTTCTGAGTTTCTGTGATGCCATAGCGGGCCCCCAGGAAATGGTTCTGGCTTGAAACAGCATTGCTCACGGATTCAAGTTGATGGGTGGCTGGTTGGTGGGTGGGAAGCCTGTTCGGGCTGTTTTCCTACAAAGTGTTGCCGCCACAATGCAGAATGTGACTGATGTGTTTTGCGGGTTGCGTAGCGGCCATTTTGCACGTACGGGGCATATCAAAGGCATGCTGATGCACTTCCTCGCTTGTTTTGATAGTTGCCGGTAGCCGTACCTCGCGGTGCCAACAGAGGACGTCGAACGCTGGCTGCGGATCCACGCATGTTTCAAAGGATGCGCTTGCCTCGGGAGAGAAAGACACGTTCTAGGCTGCAAACCCACTCGGTTTCTGTTTTGTGGCTACTGGAAGGCGCTTTGCCCGGCAGGCCTGCCGCCCACAGGGGGAGCTCACGGCATCCAACCAGTGCTCTGCGTGCCATCCAGGTGGGCACTGAAGGGCGAGGGAACGAGGGTAAGTTTATTTTATTGGTCAGTGTGGAACCCAGACAGCCATCGGATGTAGGTTTAACCAGCATTTTTTTTCGGCGGAGGGGCCCGTGTCCTACAAGGGGGTCCCAAAATGGGATGTTTGGGAAACTTGTAGGGGTTTTATCCCTTTCAAATCGCCCGTTCCTTTTGTTCTTCTCGCACTGCACTTTGATCCTTTGCTTGTCTCAGCTTATTTGCCCCCTCCTCCTCCTGCTCCTGTTTTTCTTTGCCCTTTTTTCTTCTCCGTGCTCCTCTCCCAGCTCTTCTCTATGCTCGTTTCCTCGTTCTTCCCCCCTCCTCCCCACCATTCTCTCTCGACTACTTTCTCTATCTACAATTCTGTCCTTTTTGCTCTCTATACTGTTTGTTCCCTATCTCTTTTCCACCAGTTGCCCTTCTTTGCTTCGCTCGTCACACGCGTCCTGCCACTGTGGCAAGTGCCGCCTCGTGCTAGGCTATTACTTGACGGAGGACGGGAAGTGTCACAGCTGGGATTGCTCTGTGGGCGATGGCGCCGGCTGTAAGGCCTGCTTCGCGCAGAATTTGAGGACCAGGGTGTTGGGCGAAAGAGGGTGTAGAAGTAGGCCCTAGCCAGAGCGGGGGTGTTCTCAGTGTTCTGTTGCAAGAACGCTCGGCACTACTGTCAGGACTGAGAACAACCAGTGTGCCATTTGCAACCCTGGCTTTTTCCGGAAGCACGACGACCTCACTTGCAAGCCCTTTGAGTGCGTTCCTGGTCCGGGTGCCGCGTGCGCAGTGTGCGTGGACCAACAGGACTGGGCAAAGTATAGCGACCTCACACAGGGCGTTTGAGGCCTCACCCAGTCTTTTGTTGATAGTTTTTGTCCATAGTTTGAGGGGGAAACAAAAAGGAACACCACCGTTTTTGAGGTGACCAAATTTGACACCCACACACACACACACAGTTCTTGCAAATTGTTGCTTTGTTGGCGGGGGCATCGTTCCCGGCTGGACTCGTACGATCCCGGAACAGGAGCGCACCGCCCACAACCAGTGCATGGCCTGCAACGGGGGATACGAGCTGTCGGAGGACTCAACCTGCGAGCCCATCGCGTGCGTGATCGGGGAGGGGGAGGCTTGTGCCCAGTGCAAGGCGCGGGAACGGGCGGTGGATGAATGGGTCAGGGCTCCTTGTCCAAAGTTTTCTGCTTGCAAGCATTGTTCTATCCTGGCCAGTTGCCCTTTCCAGGGCAAACTTGCATGAGCCAGATTTGAACCGAGCCCTGGTGCTTGGGTCCCCCTCCTGGTGGTATGGCCCAGGGAGACCTTTTGGCCAGGCGCAGCAGGAGCGAACCAAGGCGAACGACTGCTCGCTATGCAATCCCGGCTTCTTTCTAACAGAGGCCTTCCAGTGCGAGCCCTACCAGTGTGAGGTGGGCCCCAACGCTGGGTGCAAGGCCTGCCGTGGCAAAGAGAACCGCACCGCCCAGAACCAGTGCGAGGAGTGCAACTTTGGGTACGAGCTCACGGAAAACTTCAAGTGCAAGGAGGGGGGAAGCGGTGCGGCCAAAGCTTGGGGATCTTGGGGTGGAAAACTTGGACGCCGACAGGGGTTGGCGGAAACGTGAGATTGTGCAATGAAAACGCCCGGGGCGCTTGCAACACCCTTGGGGTTCAGAAGCTTAAGTGTTGTGACTGTGCCAGGCTTTCGACTGCACTGAGGGCACAGGCCCAGATTGCAAAAGCTGCGACAAGGAGGGCAACTGTGCTGATTGCAACGCGGGCTTTTTCCTCACGCTGGAGAAGACGTGTCAGGCATACACCTGTGCAACTGGCGAGCCCCCCTTGTGCAAGACCTGCCGTGAGCCAGACAGCACCACAGCGGACAATCAGTGCAAGGACTGTGCGTCTGGGCACCAGTTGAACCTTTTGCAGGCCTGTGTGCCCATCCCGTGCCAGAGGGGCCCAGGGGAGATGTGCAAGACCTGCATTTCAGTCTCGGAGCGCTTGAAGGAGGATCAGTGCGCCTCCTGCAACACTGGCTATGCGCTCGGCGCGAACAAGACCTGCCAGCCCTACGCCTGCTTCACGGGCGAGGGGGCAGCCTGCAAAACGTGCGAGGGCCAAGGTAAGCGCACCGCGGACAACCAGTGCAAGTCTTGCAATGAGGGATACTACCTCACGGATGACCTGACCTGCCAGAAGTCTACCTGTGAGGTGGGTGAGGACAGTAGCTGCAAGACCTGTGGCCCGGACAACAAGTGCAGCTCCTGCAACGCCGGTTTTCAGCTCTCAGATGGCAGCTGCGAGCCCATCACGTGCGACGTGGGAACTGGGGATGCTTGCTCCCTTTGCGCCGAGCAGGCAGATCGCGTCCGAGTGAACCAATGCACCGCCTGCAACACAGGGTACCGTTTGACGAGGCAGGGCTGTGAATGGTTTGGGGAGAGAAATGGGCTTGGCGTGGGCCAAAGCCAACGCTTTCATTCTGTCATTTCATTTGCGAAAGCCATCACAAAACATGTTAATTGTTTGTACCGTTGCAGGCAATCCATTGCGCCACCTTTTCCCCTCAATCGTTGGACATCCTCGGGCTTGTTTGCATGGCGCAGACTGGGCTGGGCATGTCGGCATGATGGATCACCCCCCGCTTGCATGCTTCCCGCCAGGCAGAACACTTGTGAGGTGTACGTTTGCACCACGGGCAATGGCGACGCATGCCAGGGCTGCCTGAAGGTCGAGAACCGAACCAGGGACAACCAGTGCAGCAGCTGCAATCCCGGGTTCCGGCTGCAGGGCACCAAGTGCGTGCCCTTCACCTGCGCGTCGGGCTTGGGCCCGGCTTGTGCCTTGGATGGCAACTCCAAAAACGAGTTCCCCTTTCAAACATCCCACAAAAAGTGCCCTGACAAGAGCAATGCCCTGGGCAAAACGGGTTTCTGGCTTCGAAGCGCCGCGAAACGGGTTTCGGGTTTCGGGTTTCGCTGAGGCTCAAGCTGCCGTGACCAGAACTCGCGCACCGCCGATGGTCAGTGCGCTGAGTGCAATCCCGGGCACGAGTTGTCGGAGGATCCTTACTGCCGTGTCGACGCCCCCGCGGAATTGGAGTAGGGGGTTGGCTCCCCATTTTCCCATTTGTGGGTAAGACTGCCATGCGGTCGTAAGGCAGAAGGATCCGTGTCCCAAAGCAGAAGGCAACAGCGGAACCCTTTGGGCTTTTCAAAGGCAATCCGCAAGATTCATGGGTTGGGGACTCAATTGTCGCGGGTATCTCAAGAGGGATTGTGGCTTAGCAGCGGGTTGGGAGTGGCCAACGGCCAGCCCCCATTTTGAAGAGCCCATAACTTATGATCGACGGCAACTTTTGAGAGTCCTCCCCTGTGTTTTGGGCTGACAGACGCGCATCTCCGTGAGGACTTGAAGTGTCGCCCCTTCACTTGCGAGATTGGCCCCGGGGAGCAGTGCAAGGCGTGTGGCGACGGGGCGACGGGGGGTGCTTTTGAGGATAGTGCCGGAGATTTCTGATACGTCGCATGTTCCACGAGAAACCGGAGGTGCCAGAGTGATTTGGTATGGCGCCAGGCAGACGCAAAAGAATCAAGTTCCAATCACCGGTGGCAATGGGAAAAAGGGAAAGGGGCTGTCGACCATTATTTTTTTACATGTTCTTGTGGTGACTCTCATATGACCGTACCATGTTGGTTCACCTTTTCCTTTTAAGACCGACCAAAAGGTGGGCGCTTTTTTTTTGGGGGGGGGGGGCCCGTTGGTTTGGGCGTTCAAAGGCACGGAACTCCACCAAAACGGGCTCCAAATCTCTACGAGGCCTGCCGGGGCCTGAAGAGTCGCACCTCGGATGGGCAGTGCCTTGAGTGCAACCCTGGCTACACGCTGACGGACGGCTACAAGCGCCTTTGACACTCCCCCCCCTTTCGGGGCCCGATGGGGGGAATGACTGATCAAATCTCGTTTTGTTTGACTGCCAAATTTATATATGTCTTTGTTGATTGGCAGTTGGGAAGACCCGCTTGATTGACACCGTGGCCTGATGTCTCCTTCTCTGAGATTTCACTTGTTACCCTTGCAGCCATTGCCTAAGCCTGATCATGTCACCAAGGGTGCCACTAATCGATATTCTTTGCCTTCTCGTCTCCGGAAAGGTCGTTTTCGTCGCAATACGTTTCCCAGTTTTTTGTCAGTTGCATCAGTTGCATCAGTTTCAACCTGTTTCTGGAAGTTACACTCATTGGGAACACCATTTGGATTTAACCAAGACGCTTGGGTCTTTTTGGTGGCCAACCGCTGAGGCAGGTGTTGGCCCTTTGGAATTCGGGCCGGGAAGGGAGGTTCAAGCATTGCGTCCAAAGGGATCTCCTTTTAGTTGGTTTGAAGGGGTACCAAGAGATAACCTGAAATTGCCCCCCCCCCCCTCCAGCACTTGTCCGGCGCGGACGCCTTCAGTCCGGTTCTTACGCGTCAGGTGCAGCCCCTTCTCCTGCGCAGCGGGGCAGGGCGCCAACTGCCAGGTCTGCCGGGCGCAGGAGGCGAGGAACTCCCACGGTCAGTGCGCGTCCTGCAACCCGGGCTTTCGCCGGGGGCCCTGGCAAGTGGGAATGCGGAAGGCTCCGGACAAGGGAGACGCCATGAGAGATTAACAGAGCATGGTAGAGCCACTGGGAAAGTAGGCTTGCCTCGGCTTTGGGTGGATGTGAGATGGGCTTGGGCCAAGCTGACATTTGATATAAGGATGCCAAACAGTGAAACATGGGGAATCCTGGCTCCGAACTTTCGTGCCACGGAGACTTAGGCAACTTTTTGCGGAGTTAGGCCCACCCTAGCAAGGTGCAGCCAAGAAGCCCAAGAACAAGGATACCTCTCCGCAAGGAAGGGGGAAGGCGGTTGCGAATCTGCCAACCGGTGGCCCCTCAGCTCTGAGGCCTGCTGGAGGACGCCACCTGCAGCGCCTTCACCTGCCGCGCGGGCCCAGGCTCCAGCTGCCAGGCGGGGCTCCGGTTTCAAGGGGGCCCATGGGGGCGTCCCTCGGGGTTCTCCGACAAAAACAGAACCCTAAAATGGTCCCAACACCCAAACAGACACACCCATGAATGATGAAAGCGTCGCCTGATTTGGCTGTAGATGATATTGCGGAGAGGGGAAGTTAGCACGTTAGTTACCACCATCGGTGCGCCCGGTAGCTACTGCCGAATGAAAAGCCGTTTGCGTACAATCCTCGATGGCTTGATTTCGGTATCCCTCTGCTGGTGAACGCGAAGCCCAACAAAAGCAAGTTGCGGAGGCATCTTTTTGGGTTTTTGCCTTGGGGGGTGGGGGTGGGGGTGGGGAGGGCAAATACACCGTTTCCAGATAGCAGCGCAGCCGGCGTCCTCATCACGCACAAAGCAAGTATCCTTTTGGTGTGGATATCTATCTATATATATATATAGAATTATATATTTTCAAAGGACATTGAAGGACACTGTTGGTGATTTCCGGTTTGGGAATTAGATTAGAACTGTAATTTGGCCCAGATGGGCATGGGTTATTGTTGTTGGTGCCCACCCCACCAAATATTTTTGAGAGCACAGAATCTATTGGGGTTGTAAGTTGCGGGGGGGGGGGGAATGGGCTTTCCTTTTTTGAGGTGCAGTTCTTCTTCCCAAAAGCTGATGCTTTGCTCGAGGTTTGTAAGGGGTCCACGGACGCAATTCTCACATGCCTTTCCGTTTGCTTAGATTGCCATTTCGATGTTCCTGGTTCACAAGGATGGGGCAATGCATGTCTTGGGCGGGCTGAAACGGCAGACTTGGCACTTTTTGCGACTCAGGCTGCAAAGGCAACCAAGAACCCCCCAACTTTCGCTGGCATTTCCCGGCCATCCCCAAACGTGAGGTCAAGGCCGCTCGGCCGGAACCTGTGCGCAAACTCTTCCAGGAGTGCCGCAAACCCTCAGAGCGCACGGCGCGGGACCAATGCGCTGCCTGCAACTCAGGCGCGCCCGCCTAGGTTTGGGTGTGATAGGACGGGTTCATTAGTCCGGAGGTCAAGTAGAATTTGCCCGTGGGCGTTCCATGCCACATGGCTTTGCAGCTTTGCTGGTCATATGGGTGCTGTTAGCGCAACTCTCGGACTGTCTTGGGGCAAGTTCTGTGCAACAGGCCTAGTTCTTTGCCCCGCGATTCCTTCTCCGGTTTCCTCGAAGGCTGAGGGGAGGGAGGTCGGGCCTGGGGCTTCTGAAATGACATTTTTGCAAATCTCCTGGTCTGCTCAACTCTGGTACTGGAATTCAACCTCGCTATCAGAATCTAAAATATTTAAAGCACGTGATATTTAGGGGGGCAAAGAAAGGAAAGGTAGAAGTGTCTAAGAGCTGAGGCTTTTACTTGGACGAGGATGCGCAGTGCCGGCCGTATAGCTGCAGTGAAGGGCCCGGAGGAGAGTGCAGGCGATGCACGCCCCAGTTTCCTGGCAGCGGATGATTTTGGGAGACTCGGGAAATGTCCTGATGAACGCCTTTTTCTCCTCACATGGAACACTAGAGGATCCTACTAGGAGCAACCAACTGGGTATACAACACCATGCCAGCGCCGAAACAAAAAAGGCCTGTGCATCAGCCCGCTGAACTGCAAGCCGTTTGTAGCAAACACCTGGGAAGCATCACCTTTCCCATCATCAGCATTTTCGCAGCTTCGGCCTCAGACGGTGTACATCAGCACAGGCAAATCAATAAGCAACTAGTGCGTCCAACAGAGCACGTGCAATGGCAGGCGGGCTGGTTGAGCACCAACGGTTGCTGCAATTCTGACACAGAGAGAAATCAGCAACTAGTTTTGGCAGTCACCAACGCCAACACCAGCAGCACCAACAGAACCAGCGGCACCAACTGCACCAGCAGCACAGCAACACCACCACCAACACTGCCCACCCACCCACCCACCCACCCTCCCTCCCTCCCTCCCTCCCTCCCCTCCCTCCCCTCCCTCCCTCCCTCCCTCTCTCCCTCCCT